TTTCATAAATATTTTCTCTCTTTTGCAGGTGATTTCGCAAATAACACCAACCTGGATAGACATTTGAAGAATATCTAAAGAGTGTCAAGGCCACAAACCACTAGATTATTGCTTCACAAACTTGGGGGCATCATTCAGTCACCATGGCTTCATACGTGAACTTATTGTCATCATATGAGGAATGTGGAGCCTTATAAATTGCAGTGGCGAGGTAGCGATGTATGCAGTGGAATCAAGATAGCTTCTTCATCTAGGGAAAACTAATTCGTTAAGAAAATTGGTGAAGAGTGAGTGTTGTTGTAAAGTCTTGTTAAATAGTAAGAGCCAAGACAATAGAAGAAAGTTTCATCTTTTGGGATTTTTGTGCGTAAAGTGGGAGAGATTTAAAAGAAATTTAAAGGAGTAAGAAACCGATGAATCATCTGATTCTGGAGAATCATCTCATTATTCAAGGTTCATCATTTTCTTAATTTCACCTCTACTATTATCTTTTTTTTTTTTTTTTTTATTTATCTAATACAGTATTTTTTGATTGATTTTATCTAATACAATATAAACTCACTGTCACATATATATATGATTGATTTTATATGTTTTCAATAAATTGATTGTAATCTCTGTACCATTCTGATATCAGGCACTATTGTGTGTGATAGGTAACTGAAGAAAAGAAAAAACTTTGAACTTGGACAAAATTCTAATTTCTGGAGTTCTTAATACAAGAAAATTCTTCATGTTCTATCTTCATTTTTTAATTTCTAAGAGGATCTTTGAATAAAAAATTAGATAATATTATTGGTTAGTTTGTGTGAGTTTTGAGATTAGATGCAGATTAGACAATTTTGGCTTATATTTTTATGCTTCTACAATATTCAGGGCAAGAACATTTAGAGGCAAGTGTCAACAAGATTCTCAGATTGGAGGTTCTTAAGGTACTTGTATGTTTCGTGTCAATCTCATTTCTGGTTGAATTTAACACTCAATATTTGAAATTCAGCTTAGTATTTTTATCAGTTTTTTTTTCTAGCAAGAAGCAAGTGAATAGTTGCTCTAGTTTCAAAAGTACAGCATGGCATTTTGATAGCATAATACTTCCATTGAAAGCGGTTCCTCTATTCCAAAACTTCACTACTTTGTCATCTCATAGATTTTCTCAACTCTTGTGGTTCAAAGGTAACCAAAAGTAAGCAATATCTGCAATTTCTGATAAAACCATCTGCTAAAGATCCTTGCTACTATGTTTTCCAGATCTGGGTTCTACTACTGCATAGGCATGGAAATTTTTTCCTTTAGATTCATTTTTCTTCAGGTGCCGCTGTCTCTAACTTCAAGTAAGCAGCTATTAGAATCTAACTCTTGGCATGTCTAACTTTTTCAAATCTAAACTTTAATAACTGGCATGTCTACTTGCACTTTTAGAACCTAACTCCTGGCTTCAGGTTTGGAAGCTTTGGATTCCTTGCTGAAATTACAATATATAATTTAAAGCTTCTAGTTGTTGCAACCAATGTTTTAAAACCCGGCCCGGCCTGGCCGGTTCAACCAAGACCTGGAAGCTTCAACGGGCCAGGTTTAATTTTTTCCTATTCACCCAATACCCTAGGATTTTCGGTGATGATCGACGAACAATTAACTGTCGGAATGTTAGGACTTTTGAAGAGCTATTTCCAGTGAATTTAATGGTGGTGAAAGATTTGATTTCTAGTGAGTAAATCGACCAGAAATCGAACAAAACTGGCAGCGGCAACGATGAGATTTTTCCAATGATTGACGAGGCTAACGGGGGTGGGGGGAGGGGGTTTTGGTCGGGAGGAAAAGGGGAGTAATTCTGGGGTGATGGGAAGGGTTGTTGTTGCCGGAATCGATGGGATCTGGCCTGGAATGCCGACGTCGACGTCGGTGAGATCTGGTCTATTTCGGCTAGATCTTGGGTATATTTTGATGGAAATGGGCTCCAGGGACGATTAGGGTTACATTTGGGGTGTCGCCGCTGCTAATTAGTAGCCGATCGATTTGCAGTTGGGGTGTGTTTGATAAATTTCAAACCTATAGGGACTTACCGTAATTTTTAGGGGTATATTTGGTGAATTTTAAAAGTTTTTGTCAACCGGTTTGACCGCTGGTCAAATCGGTTAAACCAGTCAACCCGGGACCTAGAAGCTTTGTCGGGTTTCACCCCGGGGTTGGGTTTTAAAACATTGGTTGCAATTGCTAATCAAAGTGCATTTTTCTACCTTTGCATAGTTTCTTTATTGTTGTCTTATTGTTTTTGTTTTGGGCAAAGAGATGTGAAATGCATCTGAATTTTTTATAGCTTATTGAAGGAATCATTGTTTACTTTCTCTGTGCAAACAACTCTATGCAGGATCCCTACACTTAGATTAACATTGCAGGAATCATTGGAGGGCTCAAAATTTTCCTTCCCCAACTTTGTGTAAGCATATTCNTTTATCAAATTAAAAGAGGAATGTGAAAGATCTGTATTGCATACATTAATTGAATGCATGTGAATCATCCCTATTTTATCAACACCAATAAGCAGCAAAGACGAAGACCAATTAACGACATCCTAAATGGAAATTATATAACGATTCTCAGCAATCTTTAACCATAATAACCCGATTAAAAAAAAAAGAATAATAACAAAATGTTCTATTATAATCAATATTTGACATTTTTTTTGTGAAACAATAGTCGTTTACAATTTCTTAAAATATAAAAATTCGATAATAAAATAAAAACAATATAATAAATAAACCCGTGCAACGCGCGGGCGTGCCATCTAGTCATTTATATATCTATGTAATCCTGAAACACTTGTTATTTAAACGCCACATAGGACTCTATAATTGTTGCAAGTGTATGCATGTTATTGGTTTAAGCTATTTCGTAACCACATACATTCAATGTTTTGTGGATGTGTTTAATTAGATAAATAGAAACACTTCACATTCACATTAGATGTTTTATTATTATTAGATCAAGAGAAACTTTTCACATACATATTAAATGTTTTATGATTATACGATAGTTTGATTCATTGTTTTTGTCTAATTGAATGTGAAGGGGTACAAAACGGTACACATTTAATAATATTCATTAAATTAATATGCATAAATAAATGTGAAGATTAATGTATTGATGAGATGTATTATTGAATTTCATGAATGTGAAGAGATACGTTGTAACAGTTAAAGGACTCATTACTTTGAATCTTATATATATGTCGACATATTAACAGTTTGTTACATGATTTATCTGGAGAAAGAGAGGTAGTCAATTTTTAATTTTTATTTGTAATGGTTTTTCTTTTGGTTTGGTCAGTTTATTGTTAAACTTTTTTATTCTAATTTGATGTAGGTATATACTTTTGGTCGAAGCATAATATTTGTTCTCATAGTTGCGAATTACGTTCTATTGAAGGTAATGTATTCATTTTACTACGCCTTTTTAATTCCTCCTTCTGGTTGCTAAATATTTTTTGTTAGAAACGTAAAATTTGTTCTCATAGTTGTAATTCATTGGCTATTGTATTGTTATACTCCTATTCAATCGCTTATCATGTATGCTATATAGTTTTTGTTAAAAGGTATGTAATTTATTGTATGGTTTTGACTATTTGATTGTTTTAGTGCAAATGGTGAATCGTAATTCTGTTACAGAAATGTCAAATCCATTTGCCAAACCAGTAATTTTGTTATTCAATTATAAGAAGACATAGGCCAGACCATTCTGAACCATTTATGTGTCTACTACTGTACTTAAAAAATCCATTTGACGAATTATTTGGATCAATGATTTTGGTGCTATTTTCTTATCCATGTGCCGAACCATTTCGATCATCAAGTTGTTTACCATTGTACTATAGAATTGTAGCCGTGGGCTAAACCATATTATTTAATTGTAAGAGAAAAGATACAAATCTATTTAGATTGTACTATAGATTGTACTATAGAATTACAAGAGACCGGTTACCAAACCATTATTCATTAACAATTGTAATATTATAATGTCCTTTTTATTTAATACAATATGAAAAGTCAATTTCATGCTGTTGATTATAATTTTTGCAAGCAAGTTGTCGAACAATATTTCATAAGTTATATTGTTATAACATAATATTATAATTTAACAATGGTTCATTTTACTATTATAATATTCATAAATAGTTTTATGAACCATTACAATCATAATATTATATTTAAAAAACAATATGCAACCATCAATTGTTATAATATTCAGTTTTGTTCATTTTACTATTATAATATTCAATCCATTCATTTTGGTGGATTGTAATATTATATTGTTATATCCGCATAACATAACACATATTCATGCCGAACCATTCATTATAATTATCGGAACAGAAGTGGTGGCTTATTATGGGTTGTAGCTTTATGAACAGTTTTGGACGTCATAATCATGCTATTGATTATAATTTCTGCAAGCAAGTTGCCAAACCATAATTCATCCACAATCACATTTCGGTTTCCCCTATTTCTCAGTTTCCACCAAACAATCAATAGTAAATTGGTCATAATTTACTCACTAAAAATCTAATTGATGAGCGGTTTGAATCTTTGAAAACTAGACAGACAGAACTTTAATTTGATATATTATACGATAAATTTGGATAACTATAGACCTTTCTAATTATGGTCAAACCACACTTAAAATGAATGACAAATTATTTAAAACGATGTATGAAACAACATCTTTTTAAAACGTTAGATATTTTGATGCTAAAAAACGACACCACACAATAAAATCATAATGTAAAACTATATATAATTGAAATCTTTAATTTGATAAACCTATGCAATGTATCTACCTCAATAGTAAATACCAATCAATTGAAACATTCAATTATTCAAACAAACGTGGTGTCAAAACCAATATCATAAACAACCTGCGTAACGTGCAGGACTTCCGACTAGTTAACTATAAACTCAAGTCTAAAGATCTCTCATAAGAAATCAATTTATTTCATTCATTTTATAACATCATAAAAACACTTAGAACGAGAAGATTTGGACTTCTCTTTACAATATTGCAAGGCCAGGCGACAAAACAAGCCTAATGAATAGGCAAACGCCACAGGCTCAAGCAAAATATAACTACTAATTAAACCATAATTATATTGCCACCACATACGACAGTGGCCCAATATTTTTGGGCCTTCTAGGACTCCATTCTACAACATTTTTGTAAAAGCTAGCAATAGCTATAGTAAATTATAACATAACAATTGCATGAAATTTTCATTGGAGCAAGCAACTGCTAGGCTGAACAACGCCAGAAACTGATCCATCGGCATGGCTACATGATGCTTTAGCTGGTTGATTGTTGTATGTGAGCTTCACATCCTCCAAGCTTATCCCAGAGCATGGATACTGTGAACTGCAATCAAACTTTACGGCAACTTCAGATGCAGAAGTTCCATGAATATCTTGGTATTTCACATCACTAATTTTAACCCCTGAAGCCTGTTATATAAGATGAATAAACAAAAAGATCAAGGGTTACATTATATATTAAATATTTTTACACAATTTCAAAAAAATGATCTAGGCACCAATCTAACTAGAAACAAATCAGAAAACGGAGACATCCGCGTTTAAGAATGATTGCACATATGTATATAAATTTCACAAAAGTCATTATAACTTGTAATATCGTACCTGATCAGGGCAATTTTTGTTGTCAGGGCAATAATTTTGATCAATGACGATAGGATTTTGGACATTGTTCATGATGGCATGTTGAAAAAGAATGTTCCTTGCAAAACCACTGCTAGGTCTACCCCAAGACTTGATCCTCACTCCATTTTGAGTACTCGTAAAAGTCGTAGTTTTTACTGTCACATTCTGCACTCCAGCCTCTTCTTGATCCTTGCCAAGACTACCAATGCTGCACCAAATCACGAGATTACAAGTTTAGCTACAAATATAAAGGGAAAAAAAAAAAAAAAAAAGATTATACTCTTTATAAAGATTTACCTGATGCCATGGCCAGGGCCACAAGCAACATTTTCAATCCATAAATTAGTGGCACCAGGGCCAATTGATACACAATCATCACCGGTCCCAATCCTGGAGTTCATGATTGTGACATCGATAGAAGATTGAACATGAATTCCATCGGTGTTAGGGCTGATGCCCGAGGCTGAAACCTTAACCCCTTGTGCTTTCACGTTGTTGCAGCCATTGATAACAATATGAAACATCTGGCTATTCAAAGATGTTAATCCATTTATGACAATATTGTTCGAGTTACTAAACTCCAGTGTCTGCACATAGACACAAGAAAAATTAACAAAGCACTCGTTAATTATAAAAAAAAATAAAAAATAAAACAAATCTACAAGTAATTGATTTTCTACACTAATCTTTTGACTTACCGTGGCACCACTGGGGCAACTCTTGCCAGTCTTCTTGCAAGTCCACAGGCCAGCACCTTGACCATCAAGAGTGCCACCATTAATAGAAACTCCATTAACATTTTCAAACATAAGCCAATTTCCAGCATTTCCGATAACGTTATAATCTGATGGAGCCACAAGAGTGCCATCAAGACGTATAACAATATCGTTGTTATTGCATTGGCCTTTAAACTCAACTTTGCCTAGCAAGAACCTCCCCGGTGGCACATAAACGGTGGCGGCCTCGGTCGAGCCACAGGCTTTACTCCATGCATCAAGAAATGCTTTTGAAGAATCAGTTTTGCCATCGGATTTGGCTCCTAAACTGAGCACATTGTAAGTCACAGGAATAGCCAAAGATAAATGAAAGAAAAGGATCAAGAAAAGCACTAAAAGAACAAAAGAACTCATCGGTTTTGCCATTTCTTCTCTTGGAGACAAAAAAGTGAGGTGTGTAATTGAAAAGTTTTGAGAGTTGAAGGTGTAGAATTGTGGGTTGAAATGGTTGAATTTAAGCGGCATTTATAGATTTTTGAATGGAAGTAAAGACTAAAGAGAAGAACATAGCCTCAATTTAAAGCAATCAGCGCCGAAGTTTTGCACGAACTATTTAAGAAACGTACTTGGAACTTGGATTATATTTGGTTTCATGAGGTGTGAGAATAATTTCAAAGCTGGTTAATAAATCAAGCCGCCATGACATCAGGATTTATGTTCTTCTGTTTGCTTTAAGCAATAAAGTCCAATATTGATTTCACCAATCTTTTTTCTGACGATATTGTCCTTAATAAACTTCTTGTTTTCTTGAATTTTCAAGCACCATTTTTACCATGTTTTATATAAGAGAATGAATGGTTTCTTGTAATTATTCAATGTGAGACTTTGAGACACAACATTTTACATAACTTTATGTTCTTTTGAAATTATTTGTATATAAATGGTGATAGCCAAAAATAAAATTAATGGGTTGTTCTAATACATTAATTCAATTCCATGATAGACAACTTTTTCTTCTTATCCATCGAAGTTAAATTGCTGCGAGACTATCTCTTTAAAAGTTGAACATAACTTCAGAAATTTTTGGTAAAAGTATACAATTATAACATAAAATGTGGTGGATACAAATCTAACTTTAGTCAACGGAAGTTATACATTTTCGTATGGCAGTTGATGAAAACCAAATCTACCGGAAGCCCCCACAGTAGAGTTAGTTGAATACAGTTAACTTTCTACTGAAATTTGTTAGGTAGAAGAAGCAATTGACTTAATAAATCATGCTTTAAAATTTATACGTCTTCAGTCCCAAGTTATATATATATATTCTTTCGGTGCAGAATTTGCCATGGATATAGACCTAATTATACTTGATAACTTAATTACACTTAATATAATTATTTAATGTTTAATCTACGGGGTTGCTTTATATATATATATTCTTTCGGTGCAGAATTTGCCATGGATATAGACCTAATTATACTTGATAACTTAATTACACTTAATATAATTATTTAATGTTTAATCTACGGTGTTGCTTTCTATAATTAATTAATTAAAGTTTCTCTACGTCATTTTGACGAAATATTCCAAAGGTTTGACTTAATATGGATTAATTGGTTTTATGCTTGTCAAATTCTTGGAAAATTTCCTGCAATTTTCAAGAGGCTGGAGAGAGAGATTGAAAATTAATGATGTATTATTCTGAAGTCTCTCCCGAATGGTTGAACTTTGAATATAATTTAATGGCAAGAGCCTAACATATGACCTATAAGCAATAAAAATGTCAACAAAAAACACATGCGATAAATTTGCCTGAAACAAGGAAGCCCTGAAACAAGGCGAACTGCATTAATAAATGGAGCTTTCACACCTCATAACAATTGTGTATGTTCTGAAGAAATGGAATCAAATTACACTTACAAGTTTCTGAATTTGTGTTCTCACTCACTGTGTGCCCATTGAAATTAAAGTTTATGTTTCAAACAATCGTGCATGGCTCAATAAAAATCCAATTGACGAACCGTTTAAATACTTGGAAACTAGACAGATAATTATCTGAATTTGGAAAAATGTAGACCCACAACCGAACCATTCATTTTATTATCATACACATTTTGGTTTTCCTTGTTTCTCGGTTTTCACTAAACAGTCAATAGTAAATTGATCATAACTCACTCAATAAAAGCTTAATTGATGAGTGGTTTGAATATTTGGAAACTAGACAGACAAAGCTTTAATTTGATATATTATACGCTAAATTTGGATAACTGTAGACCCACTACCGAACCATTCATTTTATCATCATATATATTTTGGTTTCCCACGTTTCTTGGTTTCCACTAAACAGTAAGTAGTAAATTGGCCATAACTTGTTTAATAAAAATCCAATTGATGAGCGGTTTTAATCTTTGGAACCTAGACAGACAGGGCTTTAATTTGATATATTATAAACTGAATTTGGATGACTGTAAACCCACTGCCAAACCATTCATTTTATCATCTCACACACTTTAGTTTTCCCGTTTCGAGGTTTCCACTGAACAGTCAGTAGTAAATTGATAATAATTTTCTCAATAAATATCCAATTGACAAACGGTTTGAATATTTAGCAACTAGATAGACAAGGCTTTAATTTGACATGTTATACGCTGAATTTGGATAACTGTAGACCCACTACCAAACCATTCATTTTATCATCACACACATTTTTGTTTCCCATTTTTCTTGGTTTTCACTAAACAGTTAGTAGTAAATTGACCATAACTTGTTGAATAAAAATCCAATTTACGAACGGTTTGAATATTTGGAAACTAGACAAACAAGGCTTTAATTTGATATATTATGTGTTGAATTTGAATAACTGCAGAACTACTGTCGAACCATTCATTTTATCATCACACATTTTGGTTTCTCCCGTTTCTTGGTTTCCACTATACAATCAATAGTAAATTGACCATAATTTACTCAATAAACATCCAATTGACAAATGGTTTGAATATTTGGCAATTAGACAAACAAGGCTTTAATTTGATATATTATACGCTGAATTTGGATAACTATAGACCCATTACCAAACTATTCATTTTATCATCACGCACATTTCAGTTTTCCCTGTTTCCCGGTTTCCACTAAATAGTCAGTAATACATTGATCCTAACTTGCTTAATAAAAGTCCAATTGATGAAAGGTTTAAATCTTTGGAAACTAGACAAACAGAGCTTTAATTTGATATATCATACGCTAAATTTGAATAACTATAGACCCACTGCTGAACCATTCATTTTATCATCACACACATTTTGGTTTCCCCCGTTTCTCGACTTTCACTGAATAATCAGTAGTAAATTAGTCATATGTTGCTCGATAAAATTCAAATTGATGAACAAATTAAATATTTGAAAACAAGATAGACATAGTTTTAATTTGATATATTATACACTAAATTTGGATAACTGTAGAGCCATGGTTGAACCATTCATTTTATCATCACACACATTTTGGTTTCCCCATTTCTCGGTTTCCACTGAACAGTCAGTAGTAAATTGACCATAACTTGCTCAATAAAAATCCAATTGATGAGCGGTTTGAATATTTGGAAACTCGACAGACAAGGCTTTAATTTGATATATTATACAATGAATTTGAATAACTGTAGAACTACTGCCAAACCATTCATTTTATCATCACACACATTTTGGTTTCCTCCATTTCTTAGTTTCCACTAAATAATCAGTAGTAAATTAACCATAACTTGCTCAATAAAAATCCAATTGATGAGCGGTTTGAAACTTTGGAAACTAGGCAGATAGGGCTTTAATTTGATAATTATACACTGAATTTGGATAACAGTAAACCCACTGTCGAACTATTCATTTTATCATCCCACACATTTTTGTTTCCCCATTTCTCAGTTTCCACTGAACAGTTAGTAGTAAATTGACAATAATTTTCTCAATAAATATCCAATTAACAAACGGTTTCAATATTTGGCAACTAGATAGATAAGACTTTAATTTGACATGTTATACGCTAAATTGGGATAACCATAGACCCACTACCGAACTATTCATTTTTTTCATCACACGCATTTTTGTTTCCCATGTTTCTCGATTTTCTCTAAATAGACAGTAGTAAATTTACCATAACTTGCTGAATAAAAATCCAATTTATAAACGGTTTAAATATTTGAAAACTAGACAGACAAGACATTAATTTGATATATTATACGCTGAATTTGGATAGCTGTAGACCCATTTATGAACCATTCATTTTATTATCACACATTTTGGTTTCCCCTATTTCTCAGTTTCCACTGAATAGTCAGTAGTAAATTGACCATAATTTGCTCAATAAAAATCCAATTGATGACCGGATTGAATATTTGAAAACTAGACAGACAGAACTTTAATTTGATATATTATACACTAAATTTGAATAATTGTAGACTCACTATCGAACCATTCATTTTATCATCATACACATTTTGGTTTCCCCTATTTCTTAGTTTCTATTGAATAGTAAGTAGTAAATTGATCATAATTTGTTCAATAAAAATCCAATTGACAATCGGATTGAATATTTGAAAACTAGACAGACATGGCTTTAATTTGATATATTATACGCTTTATTTGAATAACTGTAGACTCACTGTCGAACCATTCATTTTATCACCACACACATTTTAGTTTTCCCTATTTCTCTGTTTCCACTGCACAATCAGTAATAAATTGACCATAACTTGCTCAATAAAAGTCCAATTGATGAGCGGTTTGAATCTTTGGAAATTAGACAAACAAGGATTTAATTTGATATATTATATGCTGAATTTGGATAACTATAGACCTATTGTCGAATCATTCATTTTATCAACACATACATTTCAGTTTCTCCCGTTTGTCAGTTTCCACTTATCAGTCAGTAATAAACTGACCATAACTTGCTCAATAAAATACAATTGACGAATGATTTGAATATTTGGAAACTAGACAGATAGGGCTTTAATTTTATATATTATAAGCTGAATTTAGATAACTGTAGACCCACTGCCGAACCAATTCTTTTATCATCACACATATTTTGGTTTCCCATATTTTTCGGTTTTCACTTAACACCCAGTTGTAAATTGACCATAACTTGCTCAATAAAAATCCAATTGAAGAGTGGTTTAAATCTTTGGAAACTAGAAAAATAGGGTTTTGATTTGATATATTATTAACTGAATTTGGATAACTATAGGCCCATTGCCAAACCATTCATTTTATCATCACACATTTCGGTTTCCCTTGTTTCTCGGTTTTCACTAAACAACTTGCTCAATTAAAATCAAATTGATGAGCGGTTTGAATATTTTGAAACTCAACAGACAGGACTTTAATTTGATATATTATGTGCTGAATTTGAATAACTGTAGAACTATTGCCGAACCATTCATTTTATTATCACACACATTTTGGTTTCCTCCGTTTCTCAATTTCCACTAAACAGTTAGTAGTAAATTGACCAT